CCCTTGGGGCTCAGGGTACCCGTGGCTTGCCAGCAGGAGCTGTGGAGGCTCCAGAGCTGGGTTCCCAGTTATCCGCAGCAGTCGTGCTGCCCATTGCAGGAGGGGCATCCCCACAGCATGAATCAAGCGTCTCCTCAACCCCATGCTCCGCACACGGGCCTGTGAAGTGACTTCGAGCAACCTTTGTGCATCTGGAGTGGGGAAAAGAGCCAAAGCCAGGCCAGGGGACGTTTTGGTGCTGGAAGAAGGACTGTTCGTGGGAGGCAGAGCAACCTGCTTCACAGGAGATGGGGGTGAGAGGGAAACGGAGCAGGACTGTTGGGTTCCTCTCCCGATTCCCACCTGGTGACTGCTGTGGCTCAGCCCTGTTGATGCTCCACCCATCCTGACAGACGTGGCAATTTGAAAAAGAAACTCCCATACCAATCCTGTTGAAATGGCCCCTCTTTCTGCTCAGATAAGGGCTTCTGCTCTCATTTCTGCTGGAGCTTCAGCCAGGCGTCTCCTCTACAGGACACCGCCAGCATCTGCAGTTCACAAAAGCAGCATTTTGATCCACATTGGATTCCTCAGCTGGTGAGTGCCCCTCAGATCCCCTCTTTGTTATGGCGTGCAGGGCATCTTCCCCATGTCCTGCCTGCCTGACTGCCAGCATGGTGGGGCAGTGCTCCCCTCCTGCCCAGCCTTCCTGCCTGGGCCTGGGGGAGATTTGCAAATCCCTCCGTGTGCGCTTCTCTGTCCTTTGTACAGGGCAGGGGGCTGTCCGTCTTGTCTGCATGGAGAGCAGAGGGAATGGAGATGAAAAATGTGGTTGTAAAAATTAAAGAATAAAGTAAACCTGTTGCCAATGCACGCTCAGAGGTCTGTACGGAGAGATGCCTTCATGATTCCCATTCCCCTGGCTTCAGGGGTCTCCAGCACGGTGGTCCCGGGGGTACAGCAGGGCCTTGAGCTAGAGAGGCTCCCTCTGCGCTGGCTTCACTGGCACGTCCCCTGCACACAGCCGCCTGCTTGGCCAGGGACCAGCTGAGCCCAGCCACCTCCATCCCCCCCACGGCCTCCCTGGGAGCTGGCTGACGGGATGGAGAGTGGGGCAAATGGTTTTCGGGGGGGGGAGGGAGTGGATGTTGCCCGTCTTTGACTTTCCACAGCAGTTTCTCACTTCCCCCTGCGAGGCAGGAGCTGTGCTTCCTCCCTGGCCTGGCGCCCGCCCCACTGCCCGCACAACTGCCTAGAAAGGCTGGCGAGGCCGGGCTTCACCTGGCCGCAGGGGCACAGGGTTTCGGAGAGAGCCAGGGGAAAGTCTGAGGAAACCCCGGGGAAAGAGGAAGGAGCCGTGGCTAAAACCCTCCTCGCTGCAAAACCACCTCAGGCGTATCACTAGCCATTTCAACCCCACCAACCCCCCTGTGACAGAGGTCACGTGGGTATTCGAGCTCCTGCAAGTCCCACCAATGATGCTGGTGGTAAAGGATGGAAGCCTTGGTGTCCCTAGGGATGGGGGGTGGTTTTCATCCCTGCTCCTAAAGGCAGGAGCCAGCTGGCCAACAGAGCGTGGTGGCACAGGGAAGGGAGGCACTGCGGGTACCCTGGCCAAGTTTACCCTTCTGCAGCCCCTGGTCATGTTTGCCAAACCCTCCTCAATCCCACAGGCTCCCCAGCATCCAACGTGCTCGGCTTTCCTCCACCAGCCTCCCCGCCTGGGTCCTTCATTTTTCCTTTCTCCTCCCATTGCTGATTCACCCACCAGTTTAGTCTCCTGATAATTCACCCACAGGCCCAGCTACTCCAGCCCAAAGCACCCCCCCACAGACCCCCACAGACCCAGCTTGCCCCTCCACGGGCTTTCTGTGAGTGCTGGACCTTGACAGCAGGCAGGGCAGGCAGGGTAAGGTGGGCACCATTTTATCCCATGCACGAAGCAATACGCCGATGGCCAATGTCCAACAGGGACTGCCCGTCTCTGGGTACAGCCTCCGATTCCCCCACTTGCTGCAAGAAGACTGGGGCTGTGTGGCCACCCCATCACCCACTTGCGGGGCACGGACCTTGTCCCGCCCCACAGGAACCTTCCCCACCACTCGCTTCCCAGTGCCAGCCATGGCAGAGGGACATGTGGGTGCCCCTGCAATCGCTGGGGAACACCCATGGGAGGCTGTGGGTGACGATGAGAGGCCAGCAGGCCCGGGGCCCCTGCCACGAGGTGGCACTGACACTGCACGCTGTCCTGCATGGCTGCACTGCTACTGGGGAGCCGCATGGGAGGGTGAATGCCCAAATGCAGCAAGGGGAGCCGGGGAGGGCCAGGCAGGCTGGTGGCCAGCCCCACGTTGGCCAGACAGAAGGGTGACAGCTGGACCTGACTCTGTTCGGCCACGCAGCCCATCATCATGGCCTCTGGGCTGCCTGAGAAAAACTACTGCTGGTGGATCTGGCTGCGGGGCCCATCACCATGGCCTCTGGGCTGCCCAGGAGAAAAGGTCATTGGTGGCTGGACACCTGTGGGCAGAGAAGGCATGGAGTGGCGGGACAACCAGAGGCAGAGTGGGATGCACTTAGCTGCTGCTTCTTCCCCCGGCAGCACTGAGTACCTCTACCATCGCCCTGCTCCCCAGAGCAGCCCATCCCCAGCGGTGTCAGGCCTCCCCGAGGATGCCCCAGGACTTGGACCTGCCAGCCAGCACCTCCCTTCCCCAGCCCCTCCCCGTCAGCCTCTACCAAAAAAGAAACTACCGTGCTACCTGCCAAGCTCCCCAGCTGGAAAAGGCCCTGGGCTGGGGAGAAGAGGCTGCCCGGCCCCCTGCACAAGGCTGTTGGGGGACCACAGCCTTCCTGATGCCACTCATCAGCATCCCTCCCTAATCACTACCCACTGCCTAATGACAGTAATTAAGAAGACTGAAGCTGCCTGGGGACTGGAAGCGCTGACAGAGTTGGGGGAGCCAGATGGTGTTCACACTTAAGGAAAGATTAAAAAAAAAAAAAAAAAA